ATAATGTGTACAAGGATTTTGCTATAATCTGACTACACTCAGACTTTACTAATGTGTTTGAGGTTTACAGGTGCTGCACCTTTTTCCAATGCTAGAGCAATATTTCTTTCACTTGTTTTACTTCTGATATGAATTTTCACTGGAACGTATTTCTACTGAAATAGAACTGTGCAGAACCAGGCTAGCTGTTTCCCCGTTTCCAGTCTTTATGTTGAGTTAAGCTTACCGGCTGCTGGTTGTAGCCGTATGTTTAAAAGACTAATGTGAGAGTGTTATCCAAATTCTCATCTAACTTGCAGCAAGAAAGCAAATATGTGTATTTTCTAAAACCTTTAACTGCTCCTTTATATACTTGCATCCAACCTACATGTGCAGGGGCTTCTTTTCTCAAGATGGAACACAATTATACAAATGATATCTAAAATAGAAGACATTTGAGTTTACAAAACTTTTGCATTTTACCTTCCAGAAATCGTCCATGGTTGAGAGGCTTCTAAAAGAGGAAGGGTCCCCAGCAGACAGCGGTGTGTCCAAAAAAAGCTGAGACATGACTTTGGTATAGTAGTACATGTTGGCACTCACCATCCCATAGGTCACTGCACAGCAAATCACAATATAACATAACCATTACTGAAAGTTATATTAGCACTAGCTACATTACAAGCCCTTGTTACATTGCAGAATACAAATAGAAGAATTAACAGAGAGTGAATGCTTTCTGTGTATATCAATGTGCGCTTTACATCTGGAAAGACAATGCAAAGACACAAAAAACTCAACATTTAGTTAAACTTTTTACATTTTGTTTCACCTATGCATTGCTATTCTCTGTAGCATTCAGTAGGAAGCAGCTCTGGAAACTGTGTTTAATCGTCAAGCTCTGCTTGGCAGAATGTGCCTCAATCTAGTCTGCCAAAAAATCATTTCCTGATCCACCCTAAACCATAGTTTGGCAAAAAAAGAGTAGAGAAACGTTACCTCAAGTTTCTCATCCCACACATCTTAAATTTGGGATTTCCATTACCCTTTTGACCATCCCAAAATGCACCATTCAAATTGATGCTGTTGTTGAAATCTAAGTCCCCTGAAGAGTGTCAGAGTTCTGATTTTCAGCTGCCAAAAACATTAAGCATACGCTGTGAGCTTGGAAAATAACTTTTCAGCTACAAGAAAGGTGCCCAGGCTGGGATAAGTGCTTTCTCTGAGTCACTTGGATCAACTGTCAATTCACTTCAGTCCTGGACTAACTTTTAGGGCACTACTTTATATTTTACTTCATAGATATGTCACCAAAACCACATAATAGGTGGCGTGATCCTGAAACAATGTGACCATCTGAAACTATGTTTACACCACATGTCCTAACGCCCAGTGTGTGTATACTGTATGTTATTCATTTTTATAGTACACATATTTCAGTTACTATACAATAAATCATACTGTCTTCAACTAACAAGAAATTATGTAATGGGTGCAGAGTGACATACTGGTTAATACTTTGTTTTTGGATACCTGAGATCTTCCTGTTCATCACCATGAACAATTTATTAAAATGTTTTGCCACTTTAAAAATCAATCTGATTTAATATGCATGCTAACTGTTTTGAGAATACCTACTTTTGCAATTTTTCCGGTGTAATTGGGACACAGTTTATGACTGGAAGGTGGGCTATACCGACCAACCGTGTTCATAAATCTCATGTCATTTTACAGCCGTATTTATAGTGGTTACTTACAGATACAAATAGTGATGAGGAATGTGATGTATGTAATCATCTCCCTCAGCACGTTCCTGAGGTACCTCTCTCGACTGCTGTCACTGTCCTCCATCAGCTCTGTGCCCCACAGAACTGCAAAGAAAAAAAACAGTGATTCAACATGAACGTGAACTGTACAGTGTATAGGGAGACATGAGTACATAAATATTTGTGTAAAACAGTATTATCTATAGACTATGGAGCTAGAAAGAGCAGAAGTGCATGCTACACCAGGGATTCACACATATATAAAATATGAGACCACAGACCTCAGAAAATGTGTTGAAAAATGATTATGATTTTGTTAAAAAATCACTTCTAAAGGGACACTTTAATGAAAGAGCTCATGTTTGTTCTCACTTGATTGTAATTACATGGTATGTTTATAATTATTTGTTATTTTATATCACTGGAATTTGTTATTCTGGGCAGGATAATGTGTGTTTCGTATAAACTCTCCATTTGGTTTGATGACTGTATTTTATTATTATATTCATCAATTATTATAAAAGCATACACACTATTCTATGAAGTTTACAGAGCATAAAGTAAAGTGACTAACTTCTGATCCTTTGGAGTATCTGCTTCATACAGCTGCGGTGGTCATGCCTGTCCTGCTGCCGGGCATCCACAGTCGGGGTCGGGTAGAGTCCTCCTCGGGGGATCTGGGTGCTGCTGCCCGCTCCGGTGTAGCTGCCCAGGCCGCTGCTGCAGCTGCTGCTGGAGGCCGTGGACACCGACCTCCTCCCAGGACTCGCTGGAGGCCAGTCGGCTTCCATGATCTCGTCCTCAGGCTCAAAACCCGGGTTGTCCCGACTCCACGCTTGTCTCGACGGAGGGGACGGGGTGCCTATCACTCCTCCGAGACCCAGATCTTGATGCTGGATGTTCTCCATCTCTATCCCTTCGCTTGGGTCGAGTCTGTGCGGGGACCTGTCAGTCTGGCTCTGCGGTAACTGCTGCGGTCTGACTCGGGATGAAGTCATGGTTCACTTAGGTTGTTTTTTATTTATCTAGCGTGTGCGGCGCATGTGAGCAAAAAGTTAACCGTTATGTAAAAACGCTAAAACTTCGGATAAATGTTTACAACGGCTGAAACATTTCGGGCATTCGCTTTAAAGATACTAAACGTTAAACGCCTAAAAAACACAAGCAGACAGATTAGGAAAGTTAGTAAAACAACTAAGATAACATTAAAGGTTACGTTGTGTGTAAAAGTCACAATCGATTACATGAAATCATGCTCCTAATAGTCAGCTTTAAGTAAGTTACTTTTCACTCTCAACAACCCGTTAAGAAAACTTTCCGATCTTCAATTCCGTCTCAAAAAACGATGTCCTCCGTTATAAAGCGATGCCTTTAAAGCGTTTAAAGTTGTTGCCTAATGAGCTATTGGAGTTATTTACCTAATGAGCTATTTACATGGCGCCGATGGTCGCATTAAAATGCCGTTTTTAATGTGGAAGAAGAAAGATACTTTTCTTGCCCCAGGACAGCCATCTTGTTCTCGAACTCCAAAAAACTCTCTTTTTCATTTGTCCTGGACTCAGATTAGAAGTCATGGCGTCGCAGTAAAGGATGGAAAACACCTCTGTGGAAAAAAAAAAATCATTTCTGACATACTTTGAGTTAATTTATATATATGCACTTGGATTAACGGTTTGCATTTACATCTTTTAGTTTATTCGCTTGTTTTTTGTTAATTCTTAATGATCAGAATTCTGTTCCCCAAAAGTAATAATTTTCTTTGAAAGCTTTTTTAAAGCCTTCTGAGCCCTTTATCACGACCAATAAGCGTTGCATTTACTTTAAAATGCTTAATACAGTTAGTTAGATGAATGTAAAAGTTATAGCATTACGTAACCTGTGTGTTTGGGTCAGCGGTTGCCATGTCAACAATGCATTTAGGTCTGTGAAACCAAGGGGGCCACGTGAGAGTGTTTTGCACATTTTAAAATGTTGTAACAGTTGTTGTGAGGATAAAAACCACAACTTCACGAGGTTGTGTTTTTATCCTCACAACAAAGTGTGGGATTGTTAAGAGTTGAGGTACAATGAATCATTAAATCATATTTTACTCTTCATCAGAGCAGCAAAACAAACTGAAATAGAAAATGTATATATATTTTATTTATTTTGATTTCAGTGGATGTTGTGAGAGTACTTTCGTTTTAAAACTTTGTTTACAAAATGATGTGCAAATGAACGGTCTGCTTTACTACGTTTTAGTCTATGACGTCAACGAAAGTGTAAGTTATTTTTGACCACTTGATGGCGCTCAATATCCAGACTTGTAAAAGCTGGGCCTACACACGTGACAAGCTATTAAAAACATCAGGAATATTACCATTTCTTTGCATATATGTAAATTTTCATCAAAGCACTCTTGTTTAATACAACATTTTCTGCATAGCAAACAGGGCAATTGGGCAGCAGGTTTACTGTTCAGGCTGTCTTTCTAATATCCACCAAAATAGCATCAGATAAACTCTTGGTCACCATTATTGAAACAGCTTATTCCCCCTCTCCCTCCCCATCTCAATACTGTCAACTTATAACACGTCACGTTGTTGCCTACTTCCTTGTGTGGTCTTAGTGGGTTATGTGTCCTTTCTCTTTCTCTCTCCCCATGCTGATGTGGATTTGTATGCCTATTGTTATTTTTTTGTTTAGGTTGGCTCAGCATGCTCTTTTAACAACAGAGTCCATTGATAAAACAAGAACTGACAGTTAAAGTGCAGACAGAGAAAATTATTTGAGAATGGTCTTGAAGTCATAAATAAAGCTCCGATGAAAGTAACACGAGTGTCTATAAGACTATAACTCTGTTACACTGTCGTTTGTTTGATGTTGGTTAAAACATCTTTGCACTACTGTTTCGTTAGTTAATTTAAACTTTGCACTACTGTTTAGTTAGTTAATTAATATTATTTAATTTCATTGTATATATTGTGCATTGTTTACATTTAATATTTTTAATCTATTTTGATGGCTTACCTGCACCTAACTATCTAACTATCTATCTATCTATCTATCTATCTATCTATCTATCTATCTATCTATCTATCTATCTATCTATCCATCCATCTATCTATCAGTCAAATATTCTTTGGGACAGCATTAGTAGAAAGTTCGGGGGGCGTGGTTATATGTCTGTCGTCATAATTTATGGTGCCTAGTGTAAACAGCCCATTGGCTGAATCTTTGTGATGGGGGTTCCCTGCCCCAGATTGCAGGGGTATAACAATAAATAGAACCTATCACTTTAAATCTGCAATCTCTGGGACAGCAGAGATCATAAACTGTTAGTTAGTGAAGCGAGGGAAATATCGCTATTACCTCTGGGATATTTCAGAGCAGTTTACTCGTTGATATTTATTACAAATAATTCTGTCTACATAGATAGGTCTTTCATAAGGTAAGTGAGCCTCCTCTAAGCAACGCTATGAGACGGTTGACAAGCTAACGTTGACTGTACGAGCTAACGTTAGCCGCATTGTCTAGCTAACGTTGGTCTAAACCACGACTAGACAGACAGTAATCGCACAACGTTGCCATCTAATTAGGCATCCCGCTACTGTACAAAGAGCACACACTCGATATTTAGTTAAATAGCACAAGTGTCAGTTAAATTGGTAAAATCTGCCTTTCCTTTGTTTTCTTTGAGCTAGCATAGCACTCAATTTGTTTCATTGATGATGGTTTGACAGTCGATGTAAGTTGGGGGTCATTTATTTTAAAGTTTGAGGCAACTTTTATATTACCTACGAGTTGTATCCAATATGATTCAATTGATTATAAATGAGTAGTATATGCGAGTTGTTGAGCCTCACTGGTATGACAATACTTTATTGGTGCAGTTACAATGGCTATCACCTCAACGTTGTGTCGGCTTGGTGGTTTTCCCCGCTTGCAATCAGCGTGCAAGTTGTGTCTGTGCGATAGTACAGCAAAGTAACGTCTCGTTATGTGTCACTTTGTCTGTGTTCATCGACAATAACGATGCGTTTCTTGAAATATGTTTCTCTTGCAAAATAAAAAAATATATATAAACCGGCTGAAGAAAAACCGACGACGCCACAAGTTAGCTTAAGCTAATGTTAGCTAGCCAACTAGCATGTCGCAAGCTTCGCGTTGCTTTCCTGTTTGCCGGGCTAACGTTAGCCATTTGAGATGACAGCAAAGAGACCAGTAGTTCAGTCTGTAGTACTTCCGTTGTTTTTGTACTCTAGAAAACGTTGACCTAGCTGACAGTGTAGGCGCGCAATTTCTAGGACAGGAACCTACAATACAAAGTATGAATCCGTCATGTCATTTGGCTAATATACATGCGACAAATGTGAGAAATGGCAAAATGTTGTTAGCATGGACATGAAAGGCCTAACTAACTCATACAGTAGGCCACTTGTCTACAAAGGGATGCACGCATGTGTTTGACTCGTATGTGATGTACTATATATTGTTTAAAAGTTTGATTTATTTGTAGTAAAGTTCGTTCTCTCCGCTGCCAAACTTGAACACCTGCATCAATCTCTTCCCTTTTTTTATGTACACCCGGTTTCCTTCTTTGTCTCATTGGATGAACGTGATGGCGCAGTTGTGTGTTAGCTAGTGTGTTAGCCAGCTAGCTTAACAGTCAAGTGTCTTGCTTCTGCAATAGGATTGATGTGGATCTAATAAAACATAGCCCTAATGAGACAGAAAGTAGAACTTTGTTCTTTAAAAGCAGATGTGATTGACCTTTGTACTTCCTGTAACGTTACTTGCTCCTCAAACCCAACTGTTGTTTACCTGCGGTACAACAAGCGTTCATGAAAACTAAAATGGTCTTCCTTAATAAAATTGCCTGATAACGTTCAGATAACGTTGGCGGTCTAACTAACTCTAAGCGTGAATAATATCCTACACTCCAACTAGTTAGGTATGCCTAGCTAAATTATTACAGTCCTGTTCAAAAGCTTTGCAACAAAACTAACCTTTAAGAAAGTTGAATTTTGAAGTGTTGCTTCAACTATATGGTCATTTCTTTAGGCTGTAGTTATTATGTGGTGCACTTAAATTGTCTTGTTACTCCAAGTAATAAGATATTAAGATACAATCTTAGAGACCTCCTCCAATATAATGCAATGCAATACAATTCACCAGAACCACACATGTCAGCCTCCAAAGTCCTGTCAATGTGTCTTCTGGGGAAAAAAACTATATAATTCAAATAAAGACTAAATTACCTTTTTGTGAATGTAGTGTTGATCGCAAGGCTGTAGTGTTGGACTGCATTGTTTTTTTTTAATATTATGCCTTTATAAACTGCCGTGTGTGTGTGTGTGTGTGTGTGTGTGTGTGTGTGTGTGTGTGTGTGTGTGTGTGTGTGTGTATTTTACATCTCTATTTCATTTTTACAATGAATTTCTTGTTGATCTTCTGTTTCAGCACTTAATATTGTTTACCAAAGAAATGGTGATGGAGAAGCCAAGTCCCCTGCTTGTAGGGCGGGAGTTTGTGAGGCAGTATTACACACTCTTAAACAAGGCACCAGATTTCCTGCACAGGTAACTACCAAAATGTGATGTGGAAGACACTAAATTTGTAGGTTTTGGTCATGCTGTGTAACCTTCCTATTGTTGTGCCGTTAGGTTTTATGGGAGGAATTCTTCCTATGTTCATGGAGGACTGGACCCAAGTGGGAAGCTGGCGGAAGCGGTGTACGGGCAAGCGGTAGGTGCTATGGCCCAATAATGAAGATTCACATTGCAAACACTGTGTAATGGGTGTATAGTACGAGATTATTCACTTTGTTGAAGAAATAAGTATTCCTTTTTAATTAAAATAAATAATTGGCACCATTTTAGAAAGGAAGAAACAATGTTGACAGGATTGTCAAATCGTATACAACTTTCTGCCGTTTTTCCCCCTGCTTTTGGGGTTGACCGGAGTAATGACAGTTTAGACTGTTGCTAACTGCCAAATATTTGACATTAATGGGAATCCGATTTTACAGCATGGGAATATCTGTTGATTTACAAAAGGATGTTGATTTTGACTAATTTGTCCTCCACTTTTCTCTTAATTTATTTTTCTGGTTATCCACTTGTCTCTACATCTCTTAGGAAATCCACAAGAAGGTCATGTCCCTGCAGTTCAGTGAGTGCCACACAAAGATCCGGCATGTGGATGCCCATGCCACACTGAGCGATGGAGTGGTGGTTCAGGTCCTGGGAGAACTGTCGAACAACGGTCAGCCCATGAGGAAGTTTATGCAAACGTTCGTGCTTGCTCCAGAAGTGAGTACCCTTTTACCCTCCAGTACTATTAACAGACATCGAGGTTGAGTGGTAATAACAATAGCAAAGATTTCTGGCTTAATGACTGGAAATGGAAATGTTGGACAGTGCTGGTACCTGGAGTTACTGTTGCTATAGTGAAATTACTCCAAAAAATAAGAGATAATCTGAGTCACCAATGTGTGCAAAATACATTTTATGGTCCTTCAATTTAATGTCAATGGCTGTAATTTTTATAATGGACACTGTTTGCATGACAACTTTGACTTAGGGTTCAGTGGCAAACAAGTTCTACGTCCACAATGACATCTTCCGTTACGAGGATGAGGTTTTTGGAGACTCTGAAGCTGAGCTTGATGAAGGTAAGATTTGAACAAATATCCCAAACGGTTCTTTTTTTAATTTGAGTTTTTAGTTGATGTTTACATGGTTAAATGTGAGGGTGATAATTCAAATAATTTCCGAATTGTTTTTGTTTTTCTAATTTAGAATCTGAGGAGGAAGTTGAAGAGGAGCCAGAGGAGAGGCATCTATCCCCTGAGCCACTCCAAGAAAGCCCCAACAGCACCACTTATTATGAACCTCACCCTGTCGCGTATGCTAAAAACCTCATATCATTTTTAGAAGGAAAAAAAAAGAAGATCTTGCATGAAGGATTTTTCCATTTTATACTTATTGTATCTGTGTAAGTGACCGCATGCAGATTTGTGTTCTATAGTAATGGAGTAGAGGAGCCGATGGAGGAGCCGGCTCCAGAGCCTGAGCCCGAGCCTGAACCAGAGCCCAAAGCAGAGGAGACAAAGCCTGACGTAGATGAGAAGGTTCTGGAAGAGATGGAGGAGAAGGCACCATCACCGGCCCCTGTGGAGTCCCCACCAAACACCCAGGAGCCTCCCAAGGTAAGCCTGATGTATCTCTATGGTTATCAGGGGCCATAACAGTCAGAGTTCACTGGATCTTGGTGTGTCTAAACTAAAGAGCCAAAATGACTGTCCCTAACTTCATCCAGCACAAACAGCAGCGCCAGAAGTCACAGCGGGCTGGTGCAGTGCTGGTCTAACCTCTTTATATAATAAAAAGACTTTAAATTAATAAAAAGCTGTTTATTATGGATGTTGGGCAACTTGAGCGAGTTTATTTTTATTCAATATTTTACATTATGATGAAAAGATATAAATTATTAAGTACTAGAATCTCAAGTTGCATAAATTATCAAAAGTCTTTTGTGATGCACAGTCCAGTACTATATCATCCAATTTAACAGCACTAATAATAATAACATGCCCAAAGATGCCCTACTAATGTTGGAGTACGGTGTTGAGTAGTTCTTGTTGTAAATCGTGATCACTGCATCCTTCACAGACGTTCTCGTGGGCCTCGGTGACTAGTAAAAACCTGCCTCCTAGCGGCACCGTCCCCTCCTCTGGAATACCACCCCATGTTGTTAAAGCTACAAGCTCACAGGTAACCTACTATTGAGAATCTTTCTAATGAAATCAAATCTCTGAGCGCATTATAAATGGGTCACTATATAAGAAACTACCACAGTGTTTATTTCAATCATGCATTGCATTGAGGATTAGATGATGGTCAACAGCAGCAATAGAGGAAGTTTGTGAGAGGAGAACTCTTCTTCTGTTGTGAGTTTTGGACCATTAGGGTTTGCACTTTTCAAACAGAGTCCCTAAACAAAAGAAACGGACGGTATGATTAGAATCTCTGATGGTTGGCAAATTTCTATCATCACATGGTTTATACTATATGGTCATATTGCCCAGCCCTACCTCTCTATAGTCAAACATAAGACCTTGTTTAAAGGACAAAGGACTTTGGCAAAAACCCGAGATTAGAGAAGACGGTCAATCACAGGCTGAGGTATATTAGGACCTCTAACAGACGTTGGTCAACACAATGCAAAGCAGAGGCAGCCTTAAGTGGTTTAAGTTGTTGGCACACATTTACATACAGACTAGTGAAATACAGAGTGGCTGAAGAGAGTTCAACCTACAGTTTGAATTCTGTTGACCAAGATGTCATATGTATGATTTAAACTATTAAAAGGGGAATGATTGTTGTTTTATGTCTTTTGATTACTCAAAGCTATTATAACGGCAGCAAAGTGCCTTTTTAGAGACTAAAACACACAACTAGCTCAAGTGGGGTGATGTAAACTGATGCTCTGGAGCACCATGTAAAAGCGATGATGAAAAGAATGTGTGGTTGATGTGGTCTTTTTTTTTTTTTTTTTTTTTTTTTTTTTTTTGTGGGACGCCCCTCCCCCACACAGCCCAGAGTTGACGGCAAGACGGAGACACAGACGGCACCTCTTCGGTCCAGAGACCAGCGCACACGCGACAGACCGGTCTTTACTGCGCGGGGGCCCAGGCCTGGTAATGCCAACACTCGCTCCCCAGATTAAGGGTTTCACTTCTTCTTTTCTGGGCTTTCCATTTGTTATATTCTCACGGCTTGTACCTCTCTGTCACTATTAGATGGTGTTGCGTCTTCGGAGTCACAAACAGGGAAACCACACTTGAGTTTTGTTAACAAAGGTAAACATGACCCTTTAAGTCACTTCTCAATTAATCTATAATCCTTTTTTTGATTTTCTTCAATCACTCTGTGAGAATATTGTTCGAGTTGTTGTTGTTGTTGTTGTCTCACGGGTGGTGTGAGTTTCACTTTCTTGATACGGGGAATTTAGCTTTCCTGGATTTTGCTGCAGATTCTGCATGTGAGCGGCTCTGATGTGTTGTTGTGGACCTGCAGGTGTCCGGGGAGATGCTGAACCTGGAGACATGGACAGCAGGCGGATTGTCCGATACCCAGACAGCCACCAGCTTTTTGTTGGCAACCTCCCACATGACATTGATGAGAGCGAGCTCAAAGACTTCTTCATGAGTACGTTTCCTCCAAAAAGCAACACGTCGTTAATACATTTTCCAATGGCATGTAAAATTAGTAAACGCAGTTTTTATTTTTTAATGTGAATACATTTTAGTTAAATGACACTCCCTTTTTTTTTTTCTTGCAGCATATGGAAATGTTGTGGAGCTGCGGATCAACACCAAGGGCGTTGGTGGGAAGCTGCCCAACTTTGGATTCGTGGTCTTTGACGACTCTGATCCTGTGCAGAGAATCCTGGGGGCCAAGGTAGAAGGGGCATGTATTGAGATTCGATTACCCACTTTTATCTGGTGGTGGTTTTGGTGACACCTTTCTGCAACTAGTCTACAATGTGACCCAGTAGAGGGAGGGGGGGGACCCCACAGGAAGTGCCTAAGGCCATTGTTTGTTGTAATACACATATAAGGCTATGTTCAGACCAACTATAGCATTGAGTTAAAAAAACAAACAAACCTGCATTTCATCTTAACCCTGCTGTGGTAGAAACTCACTGGTGTCATTGTTATGAATGAGGTGGATTAATTTTGTCTAAGTTGTAGATGATAACATTTTCTTCACAAAATAATCTAGCTTTAAAAGTACCTGACTCTCACGAAATCTATTGAAAAGCAATATTCAAAGTAAATGCCCTTTAATAACCTGGGTATTTAATATGTGAATAACCAGACTTTGTCTTTTTTATTGTGACAATCTGTGACAATAATTCAGTGCTCAAGTTTCTCCCGAATTGACCGTGCTCTTCTCCCTGCAGCCCATCATGTTTCGAGGAGAGGTGCGTCTGAATGTGGAGGAGAAGAAGACAAGGGCGGTCCGTGAGCGAGAGACCCGCGGTGGAGGAGACGAGCGCCGGGACATGAGGCGCAACGACCGAGGCCCCGGAGGGTCGAGAGGCATCGTGGGAAGCGGAATGATGCGAGAACGTGACGGCAGGGGACCACCACCTCGAGGCGGCATGGCCCCCAAACCTGGCATGGGCTCCGGAAGAGGCTCTGGAGGCCAAGGAGAGGGTCGCTTCACGACCCAGCGCCGCTGAGAAGAGCACCACCTGCAGTGTGGAAGTAGTACCGTGTTCTTCATCTTCAACCGTTCTCGTTAACGAAAAGAAATCTTCATGTATGAACGTATATATTGGTTTATGTTTTATTTTTTTATTTTTTTGTTCCCTCTTTTGCTTTGGAATGTGACACAGCCTGTCAACCTTTTGTTTGTGAAATAGACAAAATAAGCAAACAAAAAAAAATGCGCTTATTAGTTGTGAGCTGAGCGTCCTTTTCGGGTTTCTCAAGAATTCACAAACTTTAATTTGTAAATTTGTGGAAAAAAGGCGAACCAACCAGGAGTAATCTGCCACATTAGGAGGGACTGATAAGACTTTTAACTACGATAGTACAGCCCATCATTTGGAAAAGAGATTATATGCCTTGACTTAACTGGGGCGCTGCTTCACGAAATCCCTCTATTGCACATTTTATATGGTAGTTTTCTGCCCGTTACTGTCGGAAAAGAGTGAGATGCAAAATTTGTGCAGTTCCAGGGGAAAAGCTTGCCTTTTACTTTTTTCCTTTTTGAGAGACCACTGCTTAAAAATTGCATAATGCACTCATCAATATGCACTAATGGGTACTTTTCTCGTATTACATTGACGTCCACGCTCGGAACGCAGCTGGAGAGACTGGTTTTGTCTCGAAGCGATACGACTTTCCGGGGCAGGCCTTCGCTCACAGCCTGTCTGCTGTGACCAATGTACTTTTCACACTTTTGACCCAAAACGAGCTTCAATTACTGCTGGATGGACAAGATGACGAGCAAATCTACATTATATTTTTCCTCATTTATAAATCAAATAAAAAGAAAAAGCTAAAATCCTGGACTTTCACCAAATGCGTGGCGGGACAAAGGATCCACAAAGTTGAACAATAGAAGAGTGGTGGTAATGATGGCGGCTCGCTCAGTTTTTTTTTTTTTTTTTTTTTTCTTTTGATTCCAAGTTTGTTTTTCTTCGTTTGTTTTCCTTGTCAGCTAGACCGCGAAACTGGGATGGACGACACCGTCCCTCCCTCTTCCCTCCCTTCCTCTCTTAAGTGCGGAGTAACAGAATAAATGTACAGCAGAAATCATAGTTTACTGTATGTTTTGTTTTCTGTGTTTTCATTTCTCTGAGTGGTGCCTTCTACTTCACCTTTTCCAGTCTTACTAGAGTAAAGCGGCTCGAGGCTCTCTGCCTCCTATTATTGAGCTGCTCATTTTGAACTATTGTTTTTGGGATCGGATGGAAAAAGATATTGCCGTATTCACAAGTTTTAGGTTTGTTTTTTTCAGGTGCATATTTCATTTTTCCATACTGTTTTACTACCTAAGATGATCTGCTGTGAGTTTTGTACATTTGTTTTGTATCGTGTCTGTTCTGGGTTTTGTAGAGACAATAGGCGCCTCCAGTTCTGTTGTTAAATGGTTAAGAGGTGTATCTGAAGAACAACCCCCCCCCCCCCCCCCGAAACAAAAGGTACATTAAAGATTATGCGGGAAAATGCTTGCTTCTTGGTTTAACAAGTCATGGCTCTACACAACAAAGCTTTGGAAAGGACAAATGTCTGTGTGACTCAGATTCTGTTGATACTTTTAGTTTGACCATAGTTTTTGGGACTCATGGTAGCACTTGGGTTCATCTCTGGACTCACAAGTTGTCAGACTGTTCTTTTTCTCAGCAACAATTTTGTAAAGATCTGTGTTGGTGGGCTGGCTGTAGTGCCGGTCTACCGACAAGCAAATAATTGTGCTCTTTTCTAGCCGTTTATGCATTTGTATTTTCATATGCTGATTATTCATTGTGCTTATTTGTGGTCTTATAGTTTTTCCAGTCAAGGCAACTCTGATTTGAAAGCCACACCGGTCGTCTCTCTCTTGTCCTCGAATGAGTTTTCTTTTACCATTCGGTAGAGAGGGAAGGCCTTCTGGTTTCAGCTGAAAAGTGAAAACATATTGTTTTGTTATCTTGCACTGAAAGGGGAAGTGAAATCGATGTAGCAGTTTTCTGGACAAATCTACTAATGAGGTCTTCCTTGGCTGGTGGTGTTGCACTATTTACAACATTTCTGGGACAATCTGTAATTTTGAACACTCTAAATTCCTCATCTGGCAGTGGAAAAACAACCATGAAGTGCTCATCTTGTTATCCGCATGACATATTTGCTTTCCTGCAGTTAAAACCAGATTTGATGTACAGACATGGCATATTTAATGTAGTTTTCCACAGTAATGCTCGGCTCTTGTCCTTTTTGTAGTTGAGATTAAATATTTTCAGATGTGAGATTAGTTTTCAATAGAGACCTTTTTATTTGTTACCATCAGTCTTTGAACTAATATTACAGGAAAGCTGCCGCTCTTTGACCGTCTGTTTTTATGATTGGTACCTCTACACGAATGTTTATTTGTCAGGTAATCGCTTAGCTAAAGCACTTGACAGCAATCATACTTTTTACAGCGATGGTCAAGGAAGAGGTTTTACGAAGAAGAGCCATCATGCTTTCCGACCAATTTGGTTTTTTTTGACATCGTAATGGTGGCAAAATGTTTGAGGATATAAACTTCCAGTTTGATAGTTCTCTTTTTTCACCGAGGTTTTTAACCCTCCCACCTATTTTCCAAACCAAACCTTTAAAGAATCTTCAAAAGAAAAAACAATTTTCCCGTGGCTGAAAATAAATTTGAGTGGATCCTCATTGTGAATCATTCCGGTCCCTTTTGAATGGAACTAGAAGTACCTTCTTGGCTTTAGCAGGTGTGGTAAACAGTTGGCTGCCATCTTCATTTCACGGTGTTTACCCTTTACTTGTTGCTGGTACAAAAGTGTTGCAGGTGGAGAATCTTTTTTTTAGTTTTGTGTTTTTTTTTTTTTTTTTCTTCTCTATTTTGAATGTGTTGGACTTAACATACAATAAACTACTGATATCAGCACCACTCATACCGTTTGTCATGTTTACAGGTTCCTTCTTCAGAGATAATTGAAATAACAAGCTGTTGGTGCACATTAATGAGCTCGCCCCTGGTAAGTTTTGTAGTAAAAGAGCTGTGCTGTGGTGCAAGTTTGACAGCTGAAGTTTTAGTTATAACCTGATTTTTATTTTGCAAGTGTTACACTGATGCTATCTATAACCTATAATAGTCGGTATGTGCCCATACAGATGAACTCTACAGATGAAGATTTTCATTGTTTGGACATTTCTTGAATTCAAATTCAGGCGGGCAACTACGGGTGTTTTCTGAACTTTACTTTGATTATATTTAGTCATAGATATCTAATAAGACCTGACACCAAGTTTTCAGAGGTTTTGAATGTTAACATTTAGTATCTAGCTCTAAATGCTGTATCAATATGTATACATTAAATGTATACATTTTATATATTTAGTCTACAAATATTGGAGTCGGCCTACAAAATATGTAGAATTTATACTCACTGCAGGTTTCAGCCCCTCTATCCGAGGGAGGAGTCAGTGATAAAAGCATCTCTCTTGAAATGTGCTATTCAAAAAATGTGTTGAATGTAGGCTAAAACCAGTCTCACCTGTGTTTTGTATCAGAAGAAGAATCGGAGGTGCTGAAGTTATCAGGTCCATTGTGTGCCAAGAAGCTTTTAAAACAAGGGGTGACACCTTATTTGTTTAGTTAATTCATTTGTGTTTTGACTCGGGCGTTGTATCACACTCTGTATATAATGCAATTATCATATAATCACACTGGATTGCATCACAGCATGAACATATTCTGTATGTGTACGTGAATCAGCTCGTCTTATTTTTCATAAGTGTGAAACTGTCTCAGCCCAACCCAGTGCGTTGGCCCTGTGAGTGACAAAACGGGTACAAGCTGCTCAACGGCCCAATGAGTAACTGGTGAAGTTATTAGAGCAGATGGGGCCAGGGCTGGAGCTAGTTTTGAGGACACTGTGGTCATGTTTCCTACATTTTTTTATGCTTTTATCAGTACTTAGTTACTTTTTACATACAAAAATATGATGTGTTTATATGATATGATAGATTACTACTAATCTAGTCAGCAGTATGCAAAGAAAATCCAACAAGCTATCGATCTAGCTACAAAATCTGGGGTCCACATTGACAAATTACAACATTAAAATGCTCTTGCATGTAAGTGGTAAAAACAGAATAATGCAAAATGAGAAACCAACTTGTATTTTTGATACTTTCAGTACATTTTGGTTATAATGCTTCTGTATTTTAATTAACAGTCAGCTTTTACTTCAGTTAAGGATCTGACACCCACTGCCTTATAAAGGCCTACATATTTATACATCAGTAATAATATTCGAGTTGTGTAATATATACTGACTGAGTACTTCTGGATAAAACACCTGTACTTTCACTGTATTTTCCTTTTGCATTATTATGCATCATTCTTGCACTGCTGCAGTTACATACTAGTTCTTACAGTGATAAGTGTATGAATTGGTATTTGTTTTGGTGCATGATCTTCCACACACACACACTAATCAATGACTTTCTTTCCCTTTAAATAAGTGAACTCAATCGTCTGCTGATCAGCCACGTATCGCCACGTCTGCGCGCATGCGCAGCGCCCTCACATTTGTGTTCCGGGGTCGACCGTTCAGTGTATACACACAGTACAACAACAAAAAAAACATCACTGTGTAGTTGTTTTCATTTTCTATTCACATAGTTATCACACGGACCGGTGAGGGGGGAGTCCGGGGTTTCATCCAGAAGGAGAGACGCTTTGATTACCACCGAGAGGACGTCTGTAGAGATGAACTTCTTCAGAGGAGTGATGGGTGGGCAGGCAGCCGGGCCGCAGCCGTCCGGAGCGGAGACGGTAGGAAACCAGTGCGGCTAGCTAGCTTCGGCTAACTGCAGCTAGCTAGCTGCTGCTAACTGCAGCTAAGCTAACATTTCCACCACTGTGTACCTAGCAAACTGAGACCACGCACACGTCAGCAATAAAACACGTGTGTTCCTTCACTGAAGGTTATTTTTTCTCTCTCGGTAAAACATCCAGGATGAATGTTGTGAGGCTCGGGCCTCCCTAAATGTGAGCAACGAGCTAGTCAGAAGGCTAATTAGCTAACGTAGCATATCTGTCAGTTGTCTGGACATACCAGCTGTTTTCTGTACGATTATCTGTTTAGTAATGAATGAAAGAAAGACAGACAATAAGGATTTTTAGGAGTATCGGCTGTCTACAATATATTTATTTTAAAATAACATCTGGCAACACAGAAGCTAAATATTCACACCCATTATTTAGCACAAGGGCACCATCCTTATGTCTCCTATGTTCTTGATATAAACATTGTGAGAGTTATCTTCACTAACGAATGAAGGGAGGAGGACGTTTCAGATGCACATTGAATGGTAACAATCCATTCAGCCACTGAGAGGTATCAATGTGTTACGAAAGAAAAAGAAAACCCATCTTTTCCACACATTTAGGGTTGTGGGTTTCAAGGAGTAGATTAGTTTCAGGAGTAGTTTCAGTAGATTGGGTGATTTCAACACTTGACGTTGAGAAACAAACATTGCTGAGAACATAAAACCCTTTGAAAGGTTTTGTTAATGTGTCATATTAAGATGACGTATTAATGCTGTGTACTGTCATGTAGGTCTACAGCTAACGGATACTGTCAATCTCGATACCCTGTACTCCATGCCTCTGAAATATAAGGGAACATCACAGTCACTGACCATCAACTATTAAGACATGTAAATACAGATATCTTCTCTTGGATGTATATGAGGCATAACAAATAAAGAATGATTCTTCTATTAACAGATCCACAAGTTGTGTGACCGAGTGGCCTCATCGACGCTGCTAGAAGACCGCAGAGATGCAGTCCGGGCTCTCAAGTCTCTCTCTAAGGTACAGTAAAGTATAAAGATCAAGTTATTGGAAACAGGTGCAGTAGAAATACTAATTTGCCAGCTTTTTATTATTTAAAAATAGCAACTGAGTGTAGGAAGGGGTTTGTGTTTAGCCACATCAGTGATGCTTCTAGTACTTTTTTATTGAGTAGGTGTTCAGTGTATTCACTTTTTTAATTTACAGGAGTAGCTGTCAACAAAGGAGGAAATAGCAGTGGAATTCAATTCCTCTTGCTCTGTATAACATTAATTTATTGGGACATTTGTGAACAATTTCTCCTCTGTCACACTGTCATGGATGAAGCTCTCTTTGGTCAAACTCTGCTGATTTAAAAATGAACTAATCATTCACGTAAACCTCTGCCAAGCCGCCTCTCAGTTCAGTTCATGGACAGTTTTGTTACTGGCTGCCACATCAACCATGAGTAAGGACTTTATCAGGCATGAATCAGCGGTTTATCAGGCACAGGGTTGCGCATTAACACGCAGTGGTGTCAGTGTTGGTCAAAAACACAGACACGGATGTGTTGGCTTCCTGTATTGTAAAAGAAAGATGATTCAGAGTTAAGGATTCTTATTTTTCTTTGTCAACACGGATTGAAATTCCTTTTTTTATTTTTTTAAATGTCTTGTCCTGTCAACAGTGGATCATTTATCTTATTATTATTGGTTTATAAAGCATATTTTAATGCACAACATTTCCAGAATAAACCTCCAAAAAATTCCTTAAAAGTTTCTTAATGAAATACCATTTGGTAATATTCATTCATATCTTGCACTGTTCCATAGCCACGCTTTACTATGAAACAGGAGAATAAAAGTTTTTTAAGTGCCTTTTATAAAATGCCTTGTGTTTCTTTTACATCTCTTGTATGCAACACTTGCGTTGTTGTTGAATGGTGCTTTACAAATAATCTTGCATTCCCCACCTTTTATCTTTTGTAGAAATATCGCATGGAAGTTGGCACACAGGCAATGGATCACTTGGTTAACATACTGCAAACTGACAGGTATGTTGATGTAGTTTTTGTTTTGGTCACGTTGTCCTAAACAGAGCTTTGTGTTTTGGTTTGACTGTGTTTTCTTGCTCCCTTAACAGGTCTGACTCTGAAATCCTTGGCTATGCTTTGGACACGATGTACAACATCCTCTGCAATGATGAGGAGGAAGAGCAAGGTATTAAACGCACAAATATATGAAACTCACCTTAAATTAGTTTGAGATAATTCTTCCTATGTATGTGGCTACTGTGAATGGTGACTGAGCCATTGTTTTGCATGTGTAAACGAGTTATTTTTAATTCCCCTCCTCTGTACACTGATAATGAATGCTTTATGTAAAAATTCTCGTCTCTCTTTTCTCTTCCATGTTTTAACTCTACAGATGAATCAGAAGGTAAAACTCTTTGACTGTGCATGATGCCCCCCCCCCCCCAGCACTTACAAATCATACGTTGTTTTTGGTTGGGTTGTGGACAAAGAGCGCTGTACTTGTGTTGTTTACACCTGGTGCCGTACACAGATTGTAAATAGCTGATCATGTTCTAGGCTGTGTTTTGGTTGTTGTCATATCTTCACATGAATCAGTCGGCTGATTCTCCTCTTCTTCAGTGGTTGAAATGACAGCCAAGCTTTTTGGGTGAAGCTTGAAACTCCCTCTCCCTCCTGCCCCTCGCAGACGCAGTAACTCCTATCTCTGCTTCAGGGAAGCATAAGAATGCTTCCATGCCTGGTCAGTACTGAAGCCAAGCTATCCCTGCCGTAGTTATAGTCCTGCTTATTTAACTAACTTCACTAAAAACAGTCGGCAAGTGACTGGCAGCTGTTTGGGTGGTGAATGCTTCACTAATACCCTCACATCCCTAAACCTCTTGTCTGTTAGTATGTAATTTCTCGTTGCTCCTTTGTTTCACTCACATTTTTATCCTTGATTATTTTTGCACTCTTCTGGTGAAATTATATGGATTAGTTTTGTTTGGTTCTGTTTGTTTGTTTGTTTTTTCCCGAAATTACAAAAAAAATCATAATTCCTCTCCAGTGGTGGTATCTCGCATTTTTGTTTTGAGCTCTGTGGATTGTAAGTAACACGTGCTTAAGTTCAGCTACTCTTATAAGTCGTGGTCGGATTACTAGGTGGGTGTACTTGGTGTGGTGGTGTTTGTCACATTGAAGCTCTCCGCTCTTCCCACATGATGCGCGTTTTCCACAGTCTTCCATGCAGCTGTCCCTTCGTCCGCGTGTCACCCTTTTATTTTCCCAGAAGGCATGTTCACAAGTATCACCCTGAGCACGTGCACATTTCTCCAATGGCTTCAGATATAAAGTCATTTTTCAATAACTGAAAACCACCAGGGATAAAGACTCTGGTAAAAGGTTTTGAGAAGTTTGCAGATCCAATTTCTACTGCTTACCAACTCAGGCTGATTGCTGTGAACAAACCAACTGGGTTCCCTCAATATAGAACCGTGCTGTAATATTTATTTTCCTCCACAGATGAGACCGCCCAGAAGCAGTCGGATGACCTGGGAGCCCAGTTCACAGAGCAGTTCGTTCAGGATGCTGAACACGTGACTCTGCTTCTCAGTCTGTTGGAGGTACTGAACTGTTTCTGCTCCAGTGGCAAGACTTCTGTGTTGTTATATTTGTCAAAAACAACTGCCTGATGTCTTTGTCCATTGATGTGATCGTTAGGAGTTTGACTTCCATGTACGTTGGCCCGGGGTGAAGCTGCTGACTGTTCTCCTGAAGAACCAGGGTGTCCAGGTCCAGGGTATCATTCTGGTCAGCCCCATGGGTGAGCTTCTCCTCTCCACATCCGATCAGACTTGTTTCGTAGTGTCTGGGTTTTTTACTGTCAACCAATTCTTTATAACAGCTGTTTTCATTTCCATTCTCAGGTGTTTCCAGACTGATGGACCTATTGGCAGACTCTCGAGAAGTAATTCGCAACGATGTGAGTACTCGTCTCCGCTGTCACGTTCAGGCCGACTTTAGCACGGTGTGAAAAAACACCGACCTCTCATTCATGTCGATGAGGTCAGTCAGTCAGTCGGCTGGCAAAAAAGTCGTTCCAGCTCAATTTGTGGTGCAGCGATATGTGACTTCATCCGGCAAGGCACTGTGTTGACCGATCATAAACATGCACCGCACATTCGCAATGTGATTATCAGATGTGTGCTGTTTACCTCTCCTTTGTTGCAACGAAAGATGAAGTAATTGCAATTTCCGGAGTTGTAAATGTTTTATGCCAATAGTTGTATAAACGGCTGTGCAGAGTTTGGGCGTTTGAGAAGCCTTCAAACTCACAGATTTGTTACTCAAACTGGACTTCCTAGATCTTATTTCCACCATAAACAATACGCCCACAATCGACGCAGCCCCCTGTCGTGTTTTAAAGCAGATTTTGGTCTGAACCCCCGTCAAGTGTTGTACAGCTCTTGTCGGATGCATGACGACCTGTTTTTATCTCCAACAGGGCTTGCTGTTGCTTCAACAGTTGACCAAAAGCAATGCTGCCATTCAGAAAATTGTAGCATTTGAAAACGCATTTGAGCGTCTTCTCGATATCATCACAGAAGAGGGCAGCAGCGACGGAGGTAAAAGGAGAATCTTCTAATCTTAAATACAGAATTGTCGCTAAAGATGTAAATACAATCCCTCTTCTTCTCTTCCAATAATATAGGACATTATTTTTCTTGTGAGATCTGTTCTGATGCCGATCCTTTGCCCCCTTTGCAGGTATTGTGGTGGAGGACTGTTTGCTACTGCTGCTCAACCTGCTCAAGAACAACAGCTCCAATCAGAACTTCTTCAAGGAGGGCTCCTACATTCAGAGAATGAAGCCCTGGTTTGAAATTGGTGACGACAACTCTGGCTGGTCCGCACAGAAGGTCACCAACCTCCACCTCATGCTCCAGGTAACGCAGGACAGTCACGCTGAAGCGTTGCTTTAGAGTATTTACAACATTGAACAAGCAAGAACAATGTGGTTTTGCTGTAATCTCGCACAATGTTCTGTTCCCAGTTGGTGCGAGTGATGGTGTCACCAGTGAACTCTCCTGGAGCTACAGCCAGCTGTCAGAAGTCCATGTACCAGTGTGGTCTGCTGCAGCAGCTGTGCACCATCCTCATGGCCACAGGTGTGCCTGCTGATATCCTCACTGAGGTAATGACAGAAAGTTCTACCCGACGACAAAGGCTCCCTTTGAGACTTATTGCATTGAAGCTTGTGATCTGGACACTTTTTTTTTTTTTTTCAGACCATCAACACCGTGTCAGAGGTGATCAGGGGCTCACAGGTGAACCAGGACTACTTTGCGTCTGTCAACGCTCCTTCAAACCCACCGAGGTGAGACGCAGCCAATGAACCGAAACATTGAACCCCCCCCCCCATATCTATCCGACGGTAAACCGACCGAACTTTCTCTCTGATCTCTCTCCTTCTTTTGTCCACAGACCAGCCATCGTGGTGCTGCTCATGTCCATGGTGAATGAGAGACAACCATTTGTGCTGCGCTGTGCCGTCCTCTACTGTTTCCAGTGTTTCCTGTACAAAAACCAGAAAGGACAGGGCGAGATTGTGGCTACGCTGCTGCCCTCCACCATTGATGGTCAGTTACACCAAGTCGACAACCTATAAGTGGCATCATCAGTTGATTTGGAAGTCATCCTGATAAGTCATCATGTGTGTCTCTTTTAAAAAACAGTTCTCCAGTAAGTTAACACATGTTTTGAATACAGCTTTCTATACAGCACGTTTTGAGAGCAACGTTTAAGTTTGATTAGTACTAAAGATGATCCCTTGGTGTAAAACTTTAGTGATTTAAAAAAAATCTCCCTCCCACTGTAGAATATTGATGTCCCTGCTTTTAATTATATCTGTAAATTTGATTATTTTTATGCCTCCGTGCCGCCGACAGCCATGATCGGGTTGAATGCAGCATGCAGTCATTTTATTTTATGTTATTAGTGATTTTGCTTAACACATTTATAAACACTGACAGGCTGATATTTAATGTAATGCAGGAAAAAACAAAATACATGATAGAAAATAGCAGCACTTGTGGTTGTAGGAGAAGCATCTTGCTCACAGGTAAAGGTGAAAAATGCAGTGAATCCATCAGCATCGTCACTGTAAAGCTCAGTTTTCACGTTGCTAGTTAAGTGTAAATCACCAAAAACTTGTATTATATGGAAAGGCAACAGTGTGGACTTCTAATAGTTATTTTGGAGTTCGGCCTGTCACAATGCACATCGCCACACACACTTCGAGATGGATAAACTATTGTTTATTCTGCTGTCAGCTTTATATATTTACAACTATTCATTAACTGACTCCTTTTCCCTTTTTCAGCCAATTCCATCTCAGCGGGCCAGCTGTTGTGCGGAGGCCTCTTCTCAGTTGACTCTCTGTCCAACTGGTGTGCCGCTGTGGCCTTGGCTCACTCCCTGCAGGACAACCTCACTCAGAAGGAGCAGCTGCTGAGGGTCCAACTGGCCACCAGCCTGGGAAAGCCCCCCGTCTCCCTGCTGCAGCAGTGCACCAACATCCTCTCCCAGGTAGGGCAATAGTGGGGCCACTTGGCTGCTAGAATGAAGATCATTACAGGTCATGTGTGCCTTGGTAGGAAGAATTTTATTTTGGCAAATTTAATTCTGAAGTGTCAACAACAGTGACTAGAACGGTGTCACGTTATTGTGGTTTTGCAGGGAGATAAGATCGTCCGGCGGGTAAGTAACGTGTGTTGTGAGTGTTTGGGCGGCACCTATGCTGGTTATTTTTGGCTTGGCGTCTGTAGTCGAGGTCTAGTTGGCACACATGTTTGGGGATCTTGCTGCCCTTTTTTTTAACTCTTTACTGACACCTCTTTCGTCCTAACTTATAGCCATGACCAGATTCTTCCTCAATAGGGAGGCACTTGTCCCCACAGGTTGACTCTCACTGTGTTCACTGGTGGGGAAGTACACAAGAGAGGTGCAGAGAAAAGGGACACAGTAGCTGTTGTTTTTTGTGGTTTTGTCATCCTAACACCTGCTTTGAGCTCTGATGTTGGTTTGTTTACTGCGCTGTAAGGTCTCATCCGTGTGTTCAGCAAGTGTGCTGCAGCAGCAGCTTTCGGGCAGTTTCCTGTCCGAGTGAGAGAGCTCCACTCTTGTTTGTCTGGTTCTCTTTCTTAACATGCACCTGCTTACGAATGCACAGTGCAGGCGCAAGAAGCTTCTATAGTTTATATTGTACAAGGATTATTTAATCTTCACTGTGGGTCCGTTTTATAGTGTTCCTAGGAGTTACTCAGTTTGCATTACTCACGCCATGCATCCCCTGGATTCTTCTCTTTCTCACACATTGTGGATTCTTCGATGGTAGTCTTTGTCAGTCAGCTAAAATGCATGAACTTCGGTGCACCTTCCTGGTGAAACTTCCCACTCTCTGTTGACAAACTCCTTGCTTTCGGCTAGCTCGGTCTCAAGTGAGGTGACCGAGTCTGGATCAGAGAAACTGGATCCCTGACCTGTGCACCCACGTTACTTTGTCAAGTTCAGCCAGGAGCCAAGTACTGAAGGGGGAAGCACCGCGGCTTGATGTAGGAGTCTGATGCATTGACAGTCGGGCAGTAGGAAAAAGCAGAGATCATAGCCAACTAACTACTGATGATGAAATGTCATTTGGTGAAGTGACAGAGTCTTAAGTAAAAGCAGGACATCAAACGGTGTTAGAAGGAGAAGTGGCCCTGATGGTAAAGCCCTCACAAATGAGACTGTAGACACGGTGAGGAGCGCAGAATATCACTCCTGCTCCTTGATGTTAAGAGGAGAGAGCGGAGGTGGCTCTGACATCTCAACAGGTTACCTTCTGGACGCCGTCATGTGAAGGGATTTCCAGTCACGTCCAACTGGGAGGAGACCAGTTAAACCAATCCATAAATTTGTTTTCGCTTGAGTCTTTCATTTCCCACGTGTCCTTGTTGTTCTGTTTGTGATAACCTTATTGACTACTAATGGTTGATGTGATTGAAGTGCTCCCAATTAAGGGTTGATTGGTTTATTTAACCACTTCCGTATTTTAGTTGATTGGGAAATCAAATGCTTTGTGTTACTACCAACATGTCAGGATGGGAAGAAAATTTGTCTTTTTGTTAGAAATGTGGCAACAAAATGAATGCTCGTTTTAACACCGACTCATATTCAAGCACTTTTGTTGCCATTTTATCTGCCTATGTTTTATGACCCAATCTGGACTTAATCTAAAAGTCTATGACCAGAACTCGAATTATAATTAATTAAAATATTATTTGCTATTCCTACCGTGGTTATGATCATGTGCCTTAATGTACATAACTTCCCCACATTTGGTTCTCTAGAATATTACATATTTGGACTCATGTTGATATTTGTTTTCTTCCTTTTTTCCCTACAGGGCAGTAAAGTGCAGACCAGGGTGGGCCTCCTCATGCTGCTGTGTACATGGATCAACAACTGTCCCATCGCTGTCACGCACTTTCTACACAATCAGGAAAACGTTCCTTTTGTATCCTTGAAGCAGCCATCAACCAACTTCATTACAGTAAATGTCTGTAGTTAGTGATCGCTTGGTGAACAAACTGTTACTCAATATTCATCTAACTTCTTTTGGACGAATCTTATATTTTCATTTTAATAACTTTTTGAGGAATTCAGTTAAATCCTTTTATTCAGATTGACGGCCGTGTGCTGTATAACAACGTATTCCACTTCCAGGTTTTAAAAAAAACGGGCTCTTTGAGTGTGAAAGTGACTGGTGTTGAATGAATCCTTAACTCAGTGTGACTCCTGCAGCTGACTGCTCAGATCTCGGAGAACCTGGGAGAGGATGAAAGGCTGGTGCAGGGCTTGTGTGCACTGCTACTCGGCATCTGCATCTATTACAACGACAACTCGCTCGAAAACTACACCAAGTAAGTGTCGGTTCACACAAATATTGAAAATAACTTCATAAACACATCCACATGAACTGCTGTTATCTTATTAGTCTAAAAACCCAGTTGTACCACAGATTGTTGTTGTTAGTCGCTGGATGTGGAATGAAGCTTTCAAGTGGGAACACAGTTTCAGTTGAAACTGACTTGTTAAATGTGTAGGACTTCCTTTTGTAACAAGAGCGCGGTTACAAATTATTTATCAGTATATCTATCTATCAGTTTGGATTCAACCACTCTCTGGGACAACTTTGCTGAAAGCGCACATGACACATTTTAAATCCCTCTTAAAAACATATTTTTATAAGTGTTTTCGCTTCTTAAAACCTCTCTTCACTTAAGTTTTATATTGTTTTGTTTGACTTATTGTACTTTTCTCTATGTTGCTCTTTTGCTCAATGTTAGCATTGTTTGTTCGGCATTTCTGTCTCGTAAAGCACTTTGTAACTTAGTTTAAAAAATGGCTATATAAATAAAGTTGTGTAGGAAAGATGTGTAGGAAAGACAGCTACACGCGAGGATTGTTCTTTTTTTCCTCTACTTTATGTCAGCGATATTTCCCTAGGTGTTTGTCATGCAATTATTGTGCACATATAGTATAATAATGTATAAAAAACATGGATAAGTGTTTTTTTAGAAGTGTACTTATGTTAGCCAAAGCTATCTAAATGCTCTAACTTGATAAAGCAAATGAAAGATCAGGCCAACAGTGACTGTTAACAAACCTGCCGTGTCGTCTCCTCAGAGAGAAGCTAAAGCAGCTAATCGAGAAGCGGATCGGAAAGGAAAACTTTGTGGAGAAACTGGGCTTCATCACCAAACATGAGCTGTACTCGCGGGCGGCTCAGAAGCCGCAGCCGGTGTTCCCGTCTCCGGAGCAGATGCTGTTCGACCACGAGTTCACCAAGCTGGTCAAAGAACTGGAGGGTCAGTCGGAGACCATCTTCCACATCCAGTGATGGTAAAATTGTCAGTTAAATGTTGTTTTCATGAATTGTTGTTTTCTACTCGAAACAGGTGTGATCACTAAAGCGGTTCACAAATCCAATGAGGAGGAGAAGAAGGAAGAGGAGGTGAAGAAGACATTAGAGCAACATGACAACATTGTAACTCAGTATAAAGATCTGATAAGGGAACAGGTAAACAACACGTGCTTTGTTTTTCATTTCTGTGTTTTTGATGTTATTTATATATTATATAGTTATTTATATTAATGTTCTCTCCCGTTGACTTTTTTTAAATTGTGATTGTGCGATCTTCAGGATTCTCAGATCCAGGAGCTGAAGGAGCAGGTGGCGTCCATGTCGTCTCAGGGTGAACAGATGCAGACTACTGTCACCCAGCAGCTGTCCCAGATCCAGCAGCACAAGGACCAGTACAACATCCTCAAGCTGAAAATAGGTGGGTCCGCCTCATTGGGTGACTAATAACGAGTGTTGTGTGTCCTCTATGTCTGGTTTGTTAGTTGAATGAACAATGGTGATTTTGGCAAGGTATGTAATATATTTATATTTGTGTGATTTATTTATTTTTAACAACTCCACCTTCCCTGTTGTTGATACGTTTTACTGCTTCATTGCTGAGATATGGGGCGACATCGCAAGATACAGTTTTACAACGTAGTGTGCACAAGGCAACAACAGGAGGTTTTAAAGAAGTAGTTCAACATTTCTGACAGCGACAACGTCCGGTGCTGAAAACTGAAGCCAAAAACAGCAGTTCATCGGTGAATGGCCCCTTGCAGCTGGCTCCAAAAGCGAGTCAATCCCCGTAGACCTCCAACTTTAAATTAGTTTAAATATGATGGCTTATGTGGCTCGTTTCTCTGTCTTAGTGCTGAATGTAGCAGAGTCCACAAAATAAAGAGTTTAAGATAAGGAGTAAAGTGTTGTCCTAATGGCTCAAAACTATGTTAGTAGAGGGGGTAACATCAACATTTCTATCACATTCCCACATCCTAACTGAGTGCGTGTTAATCCTTTCAGGTAAGGAGAGTCAGCCGAACAGCCAGGGAAACGCCTCTCAGGTGAACGGGCTGCAGACGGAGGAGCTCTCACAGCTCAGAGAGGAGGTGGAGGAGCTACGCAAGCAGCACGCTCTCCTTCAGACACAACTCGGGGACAAAGACGCACTCATCGACACCCTGGTGAGTAGACGTCCACGTGCGGCGTTCGTTTGTTTGTGTAAGCTTCAAGTGGAGGTGGAAAAACGACACACAACGGCGTGGCACCCCGGGGAGCAACGGTGGTCACTGTTCAAACACCAGAATATAATGGAATGAATAATACATACACTGAACTTCAAACCACACCTTCACTATCGTGGTAACAGCCAGACAACATAACAGTAATAGTCATCAACTACAGTTTTCAGATGAACCAAAACTACTTAAAACAACAAATGCATTCTTCCAACAGAACTCCCAGCTGTATTTGGTTGAGGAACACTTGGGAGACTTGAGGCTCCGGTGTTTGAAAGACTCGCTGAGTTAGAGCTGCAATAGTTGGTCGATTAATCCACAGAAAAGTGTTTTCACTTGATTTTGATGAATCATTTAAGACACTTTTTTAAGCAAAAACTCAAAACTGTTCGGCTTCTTCGATGAGTATCACCTTTCTTCATTTTAAATTGAACATCTTTGTGTTTTGGGCTGTTGGTCTGTTGAAACATTTAAAGACCTTCAGCTCTGGTAAACGTTTATGGACCCAGTTCACAATTTTAGGAATAAGAAAAATAATTATCAGATTAATCGTCAGTGAAAATGATCGTTAGTTGCAGCCTTAATCCGAATATAATCCTGCAATTTGAACTGGATGTAGAGTTTTACTTTAATCCTGTCACAGTGAAAATGACATTATAGTGCATCACTAATGTATGTATGTTTGTAGAAGTCAGAGACGGCAGAAGGTTCAGCCGGAGGATCAGACAACACAGAACTGCTCAAGGTAGGATTCATCATACATACATTTTTCCTTTCACCTTTAATTTACAATGAATATATGTGTAAAGGATGAGGATTTCTCTTCTTGTCAACAAAACACATGAGAAGACAAAAACCAACATACTTGGTCTGCCTGTTAATACTTTTAGACCTTCTGTCACTCCCCTTGTTCCTTGAATTTCACCAGACGTAACCCTAAGACTTCATATGTTCAGGTAATGGTTTTATATATTACATTTCTGCAAGTGTTGCTTTGTTTGTTGCAGGAGCTGGAGGCTCTGAGGAGTCAGGTCCAGTCCCAGTTGGCAGAAATCAACCAGATGAAGACAGAGAGACAAGAACTGCTCACAAGAGCTGAAGCTGGGGTAAATATCAAGCACATATGATATTTTGTGCCTAATATATCACATTTTTCTTGATGGATACTAAATTAATCGACCTCCCACTGGTTTCTCTCAGTCCCAGGACGCAGTCTCCAGCAGTGACGGCTCATTAGACGCTGCCAAAATGGCAGAATTAGAGAGCAGACTGGCAGCACAGTCGACTGAGACACAGAGACTCAAGGTTTGTAGAATAACTCTTCAGCGGCATGTGAAGCATCACTTCACCCTGATTTACTACCAGTGCTTACACACTACTTGGCTGTGAGTTCCCATTATTTGTATTTATGGATCATTCTGTCGCTTCCTCCTCCGCCCTCTCCGTCTCCCCTACGTTGGTTTCCAGGAGGAGGCAGAGAGTTTGTCAGAGAGCCAGGCGGAGCTGGAACAGCAGCTGGCTTCAGCCACCAGCACGGTGGCCATCCTGCAGACGGAGAAGGTGAAGCTGCAAACGGAGGTCCAGGAGTCCAAGAAGGAGCAGGACGACTTGCTGATGCTGCTTGCAGACCAGGACCAGAAGATCCACGCCCTCAAACTGAAACTCAAAGACCTGGGAGAGACGGTAGACATTCAGAATTATACTTTTACATTAGGAGTCCTAACTCATCACCTTATAAGGGCTCCAAACTTGTGGAGAATGGAGGTTTCATAGAGACGGTAAAATACAGAAAATAATGAAATAACATTTTAAATAACCCAACATCTAACATAGTATTCATTACTGCTTTAAAAAGTGATATCTTTGTTAGAATTAGCCCTTTTTTTTTATTAAAGGTGGGAACAAGCATAAGGATTAATGTGCAAAACAAAAGCTGCTGCTATGAGAAAGACAATCATTTCTAATTTAATAATTACAGTGCAGAGGCAGCTCACCTCACTCTGATGAGGTTCAGTTGCCTCCAGCTGCCATTGCTCTCATCTCTACATCCACCAAAATCAAATATTAGCAAGTCCAGCTTTTTTTGATAGATGTTATCTCTGCTTTGGTACCATCACACACAAGAACTGGTGTTGCTACAGGTTTGCGGAGGCTGCCTACAGCTGGAATTATGCTTTTTTCGGATCTTCGACGTCTTTGCAGACCTACAGAGAGGCTGTAGGTTATGGGTGAACTGTAAGTTGCAGAGGCTCGATCCAGCCGTGCAAATGCCTCCAAATGACCCCCCTGCACATTTGGCTACATGCAGCACAAAGAGGTCCGATTAACAGCTTTCACACCAGCCGAAACTAACCATACTGACGGGGCAAACGGACCTGAGAACCAAACGGCTCAAGTGTAACAGCGCTCTTGTCTACCTGATGACCAATGGGCTGTCTTCCATATTCACTCATTCATTTGACTATCAAGACAAAAACTAGACTTTAAAGCTTTTAGTAATCTAAAGTTCTGCTCCCGGTTTAACCCGTCACCTGTGGTGGTAGTTGTTGGTACTAGAGATGACTTGAGTAGTAAGAGATCATTTTGTGTCCTGACCCACTCAGCTGTATGTTGTGTGTGTGTTCTGCTTTAGTTAGACTGTGACACTTTCCTTACAGGTGGACGATGAAGACGATCTCGACGGCAGGGACCAGACGGACGACGATTACGAGGATGAAGACGAGGACTAGAGGACAAAACACTGAAAGAAAAGAAAAGGAGAGATGGGAATATTTGTCTGCCAACAGGCAAGAAAAGCAAACTTTGCAGAAACACACCTGAGAAACTGAAGAATAGGACTAATATATTGATGCAGTTTCTCTCTCTAGCTGCCATGCTGGCTCCATTTTTCTTCACCCTCTGGTCACATCACATGTACATGTTAGTTATTTGGACTTTTCGGTGACAACTAAAAAAGATTTGAACATCGTCAGTGCATTCATCTCTGCTACTTTTACCGTCAGTTTGTGATGGATTTTTACCAGTCTTGTGTTTATTGTCATGTATTGTCATATAGTTTGTAATCATAAGAATAAATACTAGGTTAATATTCACACACAAGACATCTTGAAAAAAAAATGTAGCAAATATGCAACTGTAAACGGATGTGATATTATTATTATTATTATATCATAAACATGACGTATGATGCTTCTGCAGCATTAGGGTCACCTGCAATGTGTCACTGTGCGCTGCACCCCGAATTTATCTTCACACCCGAATTAATTCGCGTTTCGAGTATTCTAGTATTTCAACACTCAGAGTTGTTCCCGTTCACGACACAATCCAACCGCTCTTCAATATGCTGCAAAACACTGACAGAAAACATGTAAAGACAAAAAAGATATTTTTGCAACTTTTTGTCCAATACTGGCAACCAGCTTCTGTATGATATTGTGTAACTTATCAGTTTATGAGCCACATTGAAATGAATAAAGAATCTATCAGTCTGTATGCCTGAACAGAGGGATAATTGTAGATAAATTAAATTTTACTAAATCCACAATGAGACTTTTGTATTTGTCTTTTCAGGATCATTTATGTCTGAATATAGGGCTGAATAACATGTGTAAATGTCAATACGTATCGCATATGTTTACCTATGTTCCAGTATCTGTCTGGTATTGTCATGTCCTCGCTACAAAACACACTATGGCAAAAATTGGTAAAGACCTCGGGACAATTTCCGGGATGTGATGACAGCAGAAAAAAGTTGACATAATAATTAGGTCGACAAAAAGAGATAAACCTACAATAAAAATGTCTAAAGTGCTTCACTGGGCGACGTCAACGCTGTAAACCAGAAGAAATTCTCCCCAATTTCTCATTTCCACGCCTCCTAAACATGAAAATAGAAATGAGAGCAGTCATCAAAAATACAAAGTGGCTTTTGTAGAAAAGAAAGTACTGAGAAAAAAAATACATGGAATAAACTTGCATATTTATCTGCTTTGTTGCAATATGACACTTTCATATGCAGACATTTTTCTTTCTTGTCTTAAGAAGAGGATTTCTGAGAGTCTTCCAGTTCTTGAGAATTATTCATACAATCGTTCTTTAATTGCTGAAAAACAGATGGCACCTTAAAGTCTCCTAAAATACGAAGTTTTGGACAATCTAAAAGACCAAACAGTAAGTCTTTAACAGGAATTGTTGGGATTAACCCTCTAATTCCCCAAATGCCAATGAATCTTTCACACCAAGTCATTTGAACATAAATGGAGCCCAAATTAAGAAATATAAGTTTATAATAATACACGTTTCTCGCTCCATTTGTCATAGAAAGCTCATGTTTACGCACATGTGGACGCTGCAGACACAAACCCACAACTGTGTTTAAGAAGACATTTGTCTTTAAACTTTTCTAGCCAGACAACTTGTCGGAACAGCTCAACTATTCGCCCACTAATCCTCTCGGGGACGAGGAGGATGATCACGTAGTTCACACTTGTTCTGGGTAAACCACGCCTACAAGTCTGAAGACTTCTCATGTAGCTAAAACACATCTTGTGTGGCGTGTTTCCACACGGCTCTGCCCAGATGAGGAGGCAGACTGCTGGAGCTTCACTCCTTCAGCCAGCAGTCTGTCTCCATTAAGTCCTAGTGACTGAGGTAAAGAGCAACACCTTCACATTACATACCAGCTTCACGTCTTCATAACTATCGATCGTTTTAAGTAACGAGTCTCATGAATGAAAGAATATTAGCATGTTTGACCTGCTGCACGTACATTCTCATTGTTTATTAGTGTTAATGTGAACACAAGGAGCCTGATGAAGACAAGTCAGCAGTTATTATCATTCATTTATTTATACTTGATTATTATTGTTAGCCAATTAGTTGTAAATAAAATTAACCAAAAGGATCATAGACTCAAATGCACCTCTTTCCTCTAACGAACACAACACACTATTGTTTGCCACACACCAACTGGATCAATACTGTCCGATTATTGTCATCTCTTCTTTGTGATGTAATAAGTCAAATGATTGGCTGTGCAGTCGTCTTCCTCCTGCTGTCATGACTCCTCTTGTGATGGCGGTGTTTCAACACTGGGAGGCGACAAACGCCCTGAAATACAGATGTGCACAACACACCACTCACTAAATGACAAAATGTGTGTTCTTTAAAATATTATATAAGGAATGCAAGATGGATTAAAACAAGTTTGTGTTAAAAGGGTAAACATATACCTTACTTAAGATTATTTTTTTTGCTATAATTAGGGCTCCAATAGTCAGTATTTAAGCAAAAGACAATGTGCTTAACATCTACTTTTTCTCACCTGAGAGCTGAGAATCTGCATTCGATCATAACAGAAGTATCCCACTCTATCTCTAGCATGTTCACAGTGAATGTTGTGTTTATCTTCCATTAAGATTCCACCACCAGTTACACCTGTGTCGAGGCCCTGAGGATAAACTAAACCCTGTTGCCTTCAAGCACCATCCAAATACAGCTCACACATCAGGCTCCACATGACAGATGAACCCAGAGGAAGTCACAACACCTTTAAACCCTAATTTAGATTATTTTACAGGTAGTTCAGTGGAGATTAAAAAAAAACAACTACTGAAACTGCTAAAGATACACAATAGTCACGTGTATTCTGTTAAAACAATGAGTCGATCTAATAGTTTAGTTCACATACACATGATTAAAACAAACCGTTATGGAATCATTAAAGACACAAAAACACATTAAACATTGACATATTAAAACAAACAGTCATGGAACAATGTATGCAAGAAATATAATAAAGACAATTTATTTTGTAATCAACCTGGATTTCCTCGCCACACCCTCCTCGACCTCCTCTCTCGTCGCATCCTGTGCTCTCATCTCTCCTCATCCTCCGCCCTCCTCCTCCTCCTCTTCCTCCTCCTCCAGCTCTTGTTTTCTATTTTTTTCCTCATGGTGACGGTGCGGTGTGTTCAGGAGGCACATGCTCTGGGTTTGAGCCAATTCAGTCAGCTATATTTCTGGGTGGGGGGTGGTGGGGACACTCAAGGTCGAGCCTGTCATCATGACTTTTCACTGACCACCATGCAACAACCACCGGTGTTTTAACACGACTCGTCTCCGCCCGGGCTGCTCCACCACCGCTGCTCTTCACCCAGTCCTCTCCAGGGAAAACTAACCACCACCTGCCGACGCCTCTCGCACCATATGACCGTCTCGAAGGTGAGTTCACTCCGGTCTAAACTCCTGCAGCATGTCAGCGGTCGCTTGTCATGTTGCAGACGTTTTGTGTCTGCAGCGCTGCAACTATGAACGGATTGTGCTGCCGAGAGTCGGGACAGTTTTATTTCACAGGCTTAACACTTGCAGCGTGCGGCTCTGCCATGCGGCTTCACAGCCTCCTCTGAGTGAGCGGAAAAACACAACTCCAGGTCGCGTGTGTGTGTGTGTGTGTGTGTGTAAAGGTGTTTTAACTGATTGTTTTGTGTCTTTAATGATGTTTTTTTTTAACTTGAAACGTCTACAAACTAATCCATATGTAGCACTGAAAAGACGAGGCAACTCAGTGTTGATAACTTGATTGAAATGAAAATGAATCCCAAACAATACTGATAATTGATTAATCAATTTCCTATGAAAAGGAAATGCTGGTTTCAACTATTTGAATGTGAGAACTTTCTCTATTTTGGGTTTTTGATAATTGGTTGGACAAAACAAACTGGCTGGGGCTGGAACTAATTATCTTTTATTTAATGATTAATCTGCTGATTATTTTACCGCTATGATGAAATTAACCACGAAGGAGAAATCTTCAAATTCATTGTTTTATCCCACCAACAGTCGAGAAATCAGAAAAGATCACTTTGGTATCATTTTTGTTGAAAAAAAAAAAAAAAAAAGGATTAAATCTTCATGTTTTCGAGGCTAAATCAGAAAATGTTGATTAGTTTTAAGTGATTTTGTTGATTGATTGACAGATTGATTGACTCATAATTTCAGCTCTAAATGAAACAATTCTTAATTTTGTCTGAAGAGTCTTTGAAGTTTCCCCACTGTCATTCACAGGAACTATATTGATTATTCGATTGAAAGAAGTTATCCCCAAGAATACTCCATAATTGATGAACGCTTCAGGCCAAGTTTCTTAAAACTTACATCATTGCACGTTTGGGTTTTTGACAAAACAAATTATCTGAATTACCTAAAAATTGTAAAATAATGGGTTGCAGCCCCCTGATTCAGTCTCATCCGCAACACTATCTTCAAATATATCTAGAATAAAGTGTTTTGTACACATTCAGAGAAAGTCATCTCTATCTCTGCAACACATCATTAGTATAAGTGAAATCTCTGTGGGTGGTTGTACCCGGTCCGTCCACCAGTCCAACAGATGGTTTGGATCCATTGTTTTTGCTCACTTTTGTCTGGACGAACGTAAACAAACTTAAGACAAAAGAAAAATCTGTTTGAGAGCTCTGAGTTTAATGACCCGAGTCTAATTGTCACCACATGTGTAAAACAGTGGGAGAAATGTATAATTTAGTGCCAACTGGCTCTTCTAGAGTGGCATCCCTTCCCACAGGGGCAAGGTTTAACATTGGTCAGGACAATAATTCAATATGAATGTTATTTCTTATTTTCCATATCATGGTATATGTTGATGTTGGAAAATATTCTTTTTGGGATGTTTGTTTTTTACCAACAACCTGAGGCTCAGCAGGCTCCAGACCCACTAAAATAAGGAATACTATAAATTAACTGTAATTTGAGTGGCTAGACATGAAAAAAAACGTTGTTCTCTTTCCATTTATGTTTAGCAGAACTGCTACCACAGATACGTTGAAGTCAGCTTCTACATTTGGCTCAGGACGGTTCGGAAAGTTCTGAATTTAGAGTGAGAGAGCTCAACATTTTGGGAAATACACGTGTATGTTTTCTTCTCCTCATCTAACTCTCGGCAAGTAGTTTAACTATTCCCTTAAAAATCCCAGGCCATGTCTAAGCTATAGATTTAGCATTTTACTCACTTTAATCATATACTGCCCACTTCTCTGCCCCAGCTCATTAACAGTTGTAGGTCAGTTACACTTGTGCAGACATGTTTGGGACGATTACTTCCCAAAAAATGTATGAGTCTGCCTGTGGTGTGATGCAAACATGTCGGCTCTTATGGTGATGTCAGATCCAGAGATGTCAGAGATTAAAAAAAACCGGAGTGGCATTTCAGGCAGAAATGTGCTGAGTTTAAGTGTGACAATGTGAGTCATGACTTGTGGAGTAAAGGGGTGTCATGCCAGCTCTAGATCTGTCTAAGTAGGTCTGTCATCTACTTAATGGCAAACTGCTGCCAAAATGAGCATTAGACTTGATGAGTTTGCATCACATCTTCACTTGTGTGAAACAGAAAACTCCAGCAGCCAGAAATAAACCTCACAGGAGAACAGCACATCTTCACGGCCTTGTACATATTTTTAATGAGGAGTTTGTGGCATTTGAAGAAACTGTACTCCTTTTCTATTTTGTCCTACTTTGTCCTCTTGTGAA